CATTCTGGAAAATATGCCTGTGAGGCCGACAATGGCCTGGGGGCCCGGCGCAGTGAGACGGTGTCACTCAACGTCACAGGTGAGTTGAGTCTTCCAACGACGACACAACCAGGGGCCGACCGTGCCCCCAACTTCCCCGGGGGCCCAGGCTGGAGGTGCCACAGGGCCGTTTGCTATGACATCACAGCAGGCCCCTGCCCTCACAGCCTCCATCTGGGAGGTCTGGACTCTCCATTTCCAGGAACCTGCACCTTCCCCTTGCTGTGTGTTCCCCAGAAGCCATCCTGCAGCCACTGTGACCAGGAACGCCCTCATGTAGAAGTAAAGGCTTTCAGACCACAGACCGCATCCTGGTCTGCAATGATGGGCAGGAAAGGACACTTGACGTGGGCGCGTCTCAGCCCAGAAGAGGCCGGGGTGGGGTTTCCTCTGTCTGTCCATCAGGACAAAGGCCGCCTCACTGTCTCACTGGCCCTTGAACTTCTCTCTGGCTCCTCCGGCCCCCTCCCGGAGCTCTGGCTACAAGACTTACCAGAGCTTCTCCCGACTTTGTCCCCGCCCCTATTGCCTGGGGCTGGACCACCGTGTCCCAGCGTGTGCACCTGGCCCCGTCGCCACGGGCTGGCCTCCCCGAGATGCCCCTTTCCCCGCAGGGCAACATCTCACCCACAGCTCTGCCCTCCATCCTGCCGTCAGGCCATGGCTCTGATGTGTAGCCGCTGGTGACTGGACACCACGCCTCGTCACCTGCTCCATGCCAGCCTGCACCCCCCTGTACACGCGCCACTCCAACAACCTGCCCTGCTTGCTGCTTCAACCCCTGTGGCCACCACTGTCCTCAGACCCCAGCAGAGCCCCAGTTCACCGACCTGTCTGCTCCCTCCCGGACACTGGCCCCCGACTCCACCGCCATACCGCTTGTCTTGGTGCCCACACGGTGACCCCTCCGTCCGCTGCCTAAGGCCCAGAGGAGAGGCCTCCTCTCTCCGTGAGACTCCACCTGATCCCTAGGTTCTGTCTTTCTCGCATTCCCGACACTTTGCACACCGATTAGCCCTTTGTGTCCTCCTCCTCCTCTCCCAGTGTCTCCCTCTCTCTAGGACCTTTCCCCGGACATTTATTTAACGTGATGAGTCAGGACCAATCGGATTACCTCACAGCCCTGTACAGATACACTTAGCGACTTCCTGCGGCTGTGTGAAGGGGGGGTCAGTGTCCTCCCCGAGGCTCCTCGAGCCCAGCCTCCCTCTCCTACGCATGCCACCCCTCAGACCGCCTCTCACTGCTGCTGCCACCTTGTTACAGTAATTCCAGGGCTCCAGCCTTCCTCCAACTCAGGGCCTTTGCACATGCTGTCTGCCTGCCGGGCACGCTCTGCATTTTCCTCTTCACCTGGTTGATTTCAGATGTCCCTGTGAGGAAGCATTCCCTGACCAGCCCCTGCGAGACCGGGTCCCTGGGATGACACATTTCACAGCACATTAGTCTCCACTTTGCATCAGTCATCGCTGTGTTCGTTCTGCACCTGCTATTCACGTGATCGCTGCCTATCCCGTCCTCTGGATTGAGGCTTCGGGAGGGCTGGGACGGGGTCTTTCTCGCTCTTGAATCCCTAGCACATAGCGCACTTCCTGGGACTTACTTAGTGCTCCATTAATTTTGGATGAGTGAATGACTATAAAATGAGCTAATAAGGTGATCAGCACCCATTCTCTGTGGACCTCGTTTCCGACGCGGCCCAGGCTCCGTGACATCCCTGGCTGTGTGAGTCACGGGTCTCCTGTCCCTCCTTTCCCCCAACTGTCTCCTGACTTCTCGGTAGTCCCTGTAACCTTTGCCTTCAGGCCCCCAAACACACTGGAGACTGTGTATCCCAGTCCTCTGAACTGGATACGGCACCACATGGATCTTACTGTGTCCTCAGATCTGAGGAAATCATCACTGGGCTCTGATAATGTCACAAGGTCACTAAAGACCGAGGAAAACAGTTTCTGGTTTGAAACGTCTTTCCTGTGGAGGGAGATGTTCAAACAGCATGAACTGATGGTTAACTGTTTTTCCTCCCTCAGTCCCAGCGTCCCGCCCCGTCCTCACCGTCAGGACGCCCAGGGCCCAGGCCGTGGAGGGGGACGTGGTGGAGCTTCACTGCGAGGCCCAGAGGGGCTCTCCCCCCATCCTGTACCGGTTTTATCGCGAGGACGTCCCCTTGGAGAGCAGCTCAGCCCCCTCTGGGGGAGGAACGTCTTTCTACCTGTCTCTGACTACAGAACATTCTGGAAACTACTCCTGCGAGGCCGACAATGGCCTGGGAGCTCAGCGCAGTGAGGTGGTGCCACTCAGTGTCATCGGTGAGTTCGTCCTGCCCCAGCAGCAGCACAGGCAAGGACCAGCCCCTGGAGGGGAGCTGAGGTCCTCCCCCCAGCTGCCGAGACGGCTCGGGCCCCCAGTACTTCCTGCTGCCACAACCTCCCTCTGTGCATCCAGGATCCTCCCTGTGGTTTCCCCGACAAGAACCTGGACCTTCCTGCCCACCCAGCCCAAGCGGTCTTCCTCAGTGGCATCAAAACTCCTCACTAAAAATGCAAAGGGTTTTTACACCATAGACTATATTCTGATCTGTGGTTAAGATTACAAAGGGAGACTATGGGTCTCTCTGCTCCAGAAACAGGTTTGGCTGTTCCTTGTCCAGGTTTTTCTCTCCTTGAACCCCCCCTCAAGCCTTTACTCTTATGCTTCTTTTTTTTTTTTTACGTTTATTTTTGAGACAGAGAGAGACAGAGCATGAACGGGGGAGGGTCAGAGAGAGGGAGACACAGAATCTGAAACAGGTTCCAGGCTCTGAGCTGTCAGCACAGAGCCCGACGCGGGGCTCGAATTCACGGACCGCGAGATCATGACCTGAGCCAAAGTCGGCCTCCTAACCGACTGAGCCACCCAGGTGCCCCTATTCTTATGCTTCTTTATTACCAGGAATATAAATACGCCTCAGA